CTGTCACATTCTCTACAGCACTTAACGTAGAAGAGCACAGACTGAGTGAAAGTCTCCAGGTCAAGATGTTCAAAGATGGACCAGTCGGTCGGCTCCAACCAGTGCTGTAGCTGGAGCATCATCTGGTCATGTTTAAATTTGCTTGTAGGGGTTTGTTTCTTGAGGGCGTGGAGGCAGGGATGAGGAGTGGAGAGAGGTTGTAGGATTGTCCAAGGTGGCAGAGGGAAGTTGCACTGTAGGCATGGTTGATGTTCCTGTCCTGTCCCCACTGGTACTTAAACATGCTGGTGGAATTTGGCTTATTAAAGTTCCAGCAACAGCATGGACGCCCCACAGCTCCCTCTCTGCTGTTCACTTATAATAAGTTGGAAGTAGCTGGGTGCTAACGTTAGCATCCGGACGAATGTAAACAATGGTAACTATGGTTAGTGTTAGCTCATGAGGTAGATAAAATCGCCTGCGCTGAATGGACATGGCCTGGTTTGGTTTCGCCGCTGGATTGGATAGACAGCTCTTCATCCTTGCTCTTGTTTCCTCTCCCTGCGCCGTTTGCATCACTTACTGAAATAACAAAGGGAGCGCCCGGTCGGTCTGAAGTAAAGTCTGGGTTCAGGCAAAGGACGATGCCTGTTAGTTCCTGATGACTGAAAGTGATCAGTGCAATGCAGGAGGAGGCAACGAAAAGGCAGAAGACACATAAAAAGTGCACAGCAGTTTGGAGCTGCAGGGACTTTGAATTCAGCTCAGTTTTATTTATCTTCCTGTTAAGAGAGTTCATTGGTAACATTAAGTTCATGTAGACATGTAGTCCCATGTATACAGTTTTAGTTGTGTAGGGTCCCCAGTAGCAAAAAGTAGCAAAAATATATTGAATAAAATAGTAATAATGCAAACGTTTGTCTGTATTTGTGTTGTTGGTGCTCACTGAAAATATATGACTCAGAAAATACAAAAGATTTCATTGTAATGAAGATAAACAGAGTTAAAACAAGGAAAACTGGCCATAAAAGCCATTATTTGTCCTTCATGTACATGCATGTTTTGGTCTTTAATGTTTTTGCTTCCATATTTGGTCCCGTTTCCTGTTCAAACATATACAAAGTTTACCTGCCATCAGACCAAGTGCTGTTGACATTCTGGACACAAGATATTCAAACAGCATCATGTTATTGTGTCTTTCACCTGCACACTGTATGAGAAGCTCGCCCTGTTTACAAATGTGTTGTTCAGTTATACAAACTGTGTTCTTCCCCGTGGAGCTTGAACTTCTTGTAGGTCTTATAAAAATCAACATTTAAATCCATGTTTTGGATCCATTTTTCTCCATCTCTGTCTCAGCTCCTGTCAGTCGTCGGTGTGTTATAATGTCACCAAACAAAAGCTCATCTTGAACAGTCTGAACTTCTTCACCTGATGCTTCAAGCTCGGATTTGTCCTCTATCTGTCACTTTTTGCATAATCTACAGTAAAACAAACAACAAAAAGCTAACAGTATGGCATTGTTTACATGCAAATCAAATAGCTGATTAGTCAATTATCAATTTTCTTTTGTCTTACTTGACTCCAAATGTTTTCAGAGACGTCAAATTCCTTAAAATGTATTTTCCCGGTGACTAGTGGAATTGGACGGGCATACGAAGCCCTGATTAATCGGAGGCCAAAGTCTCTGCAATAAAATATTACATTTAGGGTCGCTGTTTATTGAGCGTCAAAATAACATGAAATAACACATATGTGAAGTCTGCTGTTGCACGTTAATGGACTCTGCAACGTCCCTGTCCTTACAGGTGCTAAAAGGATGCAAGACGCTGCACATATCTGTGTGCTCCATGGGACCGACTCCTGCCGGCTACATCACCAACAATCTGTACAGCTGGGTGGACCCACAGGGCCGCAGTGTCTCCCCGCCACCTGATAGCCAGGAAGACAGTCGAAGGCACGGGATGGAAGAGCAAATGGTAAGAACAAAGTGGAAGTGTGTATTGGTGGTGAAATATGGAGGACCAGCAGAGAGAAGTATGCAAACACTTGAGACTGTTGTCACTGGAAACAAAGATGTTGGGATTAAAGCAGCATCTGTCAGATTCACAACTATTTATTACCAGGTTTTTGCAATTGTCCTCTCGCGTCTGACAGCAGTCAGCTTGGGACTGCAGTATATTCCTCTAAGGTCCTCATGACCTTTGCTACCGACATTTTGAAAGACAGACTCATCCTAAAATAAAACCCAGCACAGGCCTTTATTCCAGTGACTGCTGGCAAAGGAAAGGTTTGCTCAAAATGACTCACCAAAAAATCTATCCTGTTACTTTGCATTGTAACTCTACATTTGCTGTTCCCATAGTAGACCAAATTTGAGAGGATGTCACTTTTATATGAGTGTAATTATGTGCACAGTCTGGAAAGAAAACCAGTGAAATTACTGAAAGATGTTAAATGTTTGTCAAAGCTTATAGAGAACACCATTGTTGAAGATGCTTTTTCGGGGAAAACACAGACATTCATGTTTGAAAGTCTTTAAACTGAATCTTTCAGAACTCTTGTCTCTGCCGTCACGCAGTGTCTCAGGTCTACACACATGCAGGCAACACGTGGGTGATGACAGCACTGAAAATCAACTACATATAGACAATTTATGGTAAATGGCCTGTATTTGTATAGC